GAAGAAGTCTCTTGGAGGAGAGACGAAACGTTTCATTAGAGAAGAACCCGTCCAGAAGACCTATACAATTTTTTTCTTTTTTAAAATTTTTACCTGGATTACTGAGATGCATCAGGACACTATGACCTACTGGAGTGCTGGAGATTTCTCGGTCGTTGCAGATGAGGCGGAGCTCAGCAGAATCACTCAGACTCTCAGTCTGAAGCCAAAGACGCACGCCGCCCTTCTCAGAAACCTCCACCTGCCAGCCCGACTTCAGAACGATCACTGCAGATCAACGACAAACAGTTTGGATCACATCAAAACACCTGCGCTGGTGCAGAATATAAAGGAGACTGCGAGACAATCAAATTCACGAGCCCCCCAGTTAGGTGATTAAAGTGAAAAACAAATCAGAAGTGATTATATTATAACAGAGGGACATACGGGGATTTCTGACTTGGCAGCTGAGTTCTTTCAGACGTTCAAGGTCTGTAAAAGAATAAAAAAAGGAAAGCTGAATTAACATTTGGTCAGACTGTTAGGCTGTCAGAACATCAGTGGGCAGAACAAGAAAGCTGACTGAAATCAGGGGAACAGGTGACCTTGTAGAAGTGGCAGCTTGAGAGGAAATCTCATTAATCCCTCAAATAAAACACTGCAGGTCTGTGCTGCTGTCAGTCACACAAATCCAACTAAAAACTTGTTTTTTTTCCTCTCCTTTGTGACTGGTTTTCTAACATTCTGTAAGCCTTCCATGCTGTTTATAAGTACATATTTTACACATTTAGGTTTTACCTTCGGCTGTGAAATCGTAGCTGGATGATGTCTGCGGCGCGTCACTCAGCTCCACCGTGTACAGACCCAGATCCTGCTCAGACGGGTCTGTGAAGGTGAGAACTGACCTGACAGATAATTAAAAAGTGACAGACGTATGAGCCGWGCTTCTTCTTCATCTGTCCACCTCAAGCAAAGGCTGCTTTTCACTGCTGTCAGCAGCCAGACTTTGTGCTGGAAATCCTTCCTTTTATCTAGGTGTTGCTATAAAAATTATCCTGGTGTGAGTTAATTCATGGTATTATTTCCTTCTTTATTTTTTTATGATTTTGTACTCTACCTACTTATACTTCGATCAAAACCTCCAGTTTCATTTATCATTAAAAAAAACCTCTTAGTATTAAATATAAATTTTAACTTTTAATATTTAAAATAGGCTACAAAATGCTTGCTCTATTTTTCACTTCTTATGCTACTATTAATGTTTAGCTACTGATCTGTTATGTTCAGCTTTTAGCTACAATTAAGCTTTTTTTTTTTTTTTTTGCTTCTTCTAAGCCAGGGGTTGCCCAAATATTTCCCTTTTTATTTTTATGATTAAGCCAGCAGCCAGTGTGGTTGCCCATATTCTTTTTTTTTCCAGCGCATGGACGTGAAGAAAATTCAACGTATGCTCGAGCAGCAAAGGCTCATGGGACTTTTCATAATTTAAACTTTGAGTATATAGGTATAAAGTGTGTCAATCTAGATATGGGCTTAAATTCAATCTAAATCTCTCTTGTAGTTACTTGTATTTTATATTTATTCTTAACATAATTACAATCTAGTAACCAGGACAACTGCTGGTGGGCCAAATCAATTGGCATGGTGGGCCAATTTTGGCCCGTGGGCCCCACTTTGGGCACCTATGTTCTAAGCCTTTGGTATTTTTAGCTAGCCTTTTAGCAAGATACTATATAAATACTTAAAGTAGCAAAAGGATAGCTAAATTTCATTTAATTTCATTTATTGTTTATTAGAATGGGAACAAATGTCAAGTATTAACAATACTATACACCAGTGGTTCCCAAACTTTTCAGTTTTTGACCCACAAAATAACTTTCGCAGAGACCTGTGCCCCCAGCTATTTTTGGATGATAAACATTTGTATCAGGTCAACTTAACATGGGCATAGTAACAATATTTTTATACTAAATTTATCCATTTTAAATATACTAACCTCACTCCTTTGTAACAACTAAGGCAAAAACATAATTAATTCCGAAAATCTCTTCAGGACCCCATCTTGATGTTTCGGGACCTCACTTTGGGTCCCGACCCCAACTTTGGGAAACACTGCTTATAGCCAGAGCTAATTCGCAATGTCCATCCCTAGATGTGCTTTTAGCAACATGAAATAAAAGTGTAAAATACAGTTAACAAATAAAAACATCACAATATTAAAACTCACTAATAAACTCATAAAACCAACTTAAACACAAGTCATTAAAAAGTTACAGTTCAGTTATTCATGACTACAAAACTGGTTTTCCTTAAAGAAATGCTTCAGTTCCTACCTAAAATGGTTCCAGTCAGACATCAGTTTTAAATGGGTAGGGAATTGCAAAAGTAAATTCCTCAAGCAGAAAAAGCTCTTTGACCCATTGTAGCTTTTAAAAAAGGGAACTTTACAGCTCCCACTGTTAGCTCCACGAGTTACTGAGCCTGTAGATCTAAAAGGAACCAAAAGCTCACTAAGCACTTGAGGAGCTTGTCCATTTAAACATTCAAAAACAAGTTTTAAGTAAAAAAAACAAAAAAAACAAAGTCTTCAAATTTCATCATGTTATGTTTTTTTAAGAATATGACAATGATGTGCTCTGAAAGGCTTCCTGTCCAAGATCTTAACTGATCTGTTGTAAATCATTCTCAAAGGCTTGATGGGTGCGGCTGCTGCTTGAAACCAAGAAATGTAATAAAATGCTAAGTAAAGCTATAAAACGGATAGATAGACTCAAAAAAGCTGAATGTGTTAGCATGTAATAATTAGGTCTTATAAGCAGTTGTAACATGTATTAGCCTTTAGCTAACCTTTTGCTTATAGGCCTAGGTTTTACTTACTGCATTTAAATAGCCTTTACATTTAGCTTTTAGCTAAACTTTTACTACTTTTAACAAGCCTTTTGATACATGTAGCTTTCAGTTAGCCTTTTGCTATTTTAACTTTTAGCTAATCCTTTACTAATTAAGCCTCGTGGTACATTTAACTATTAGCTATAGCCTTTTTCTGCATTTAATTTTTAGCATTTTGCTCCTTTTAACTTTAACAAACCAGTTTGAGTCTTCTCTAGTTGCTTCAAAAGACTTGTGAGCAGTGGTGGGCAGCACTAATCTAAATATTAGTTGCACTAAACCTAAAGCACTAACTCAACTATTTAGGTCCCCTAATTCTAAAGCACTAATTGCACTGAAAATTTTAGCAAAAGCTAATTTTAAAGCACTAAAGTAACCCAGCTGACATATGGAACATTCTTCAGAGTCAACATAAGACAATATTTACTGTGTGCAAAATATTGTCACTTRGTGCCCTTGGCGGGCCAAATGGGAGTCACCTGCAGGCCACACTTGGCCTGTGGGCCTTGAGTTTGACACGTGACCTTGTAGATAAGTGACACACATATGAACAAAATGTGACAGCTTTCACCCTCAACTAATGTTGATCAATGACATTTAAAAACCTCAGTTAGTGCTTCTAAATTCAGCCCATAAATTTAGCAAGTGCTAATCCACTAATAAATAAAAAAAAATAGCAAAAGCCCTAAAGCACTAATCAGGAAGTTAGTTCCCCTGTTAGTGCTTTAGTGCTTTTGGGAGACTGTGCCCACCACTGCTCGTGAGAGTTAAATTTCATGGAGAAATAACTGGGAAAAAAAGACATATTTGAAAAACAAATCATTTGTTAATTTTTGGTTGGCTTGAAGTTTTTTCCTGTGTTTGTTCCCTTCTGAACAAAAAAGGAAATGAAAGCTATAAAAAAATAACAGACTGGTTAATATGAGGCACAATGAAGGTTGATAGAGAAGTAAACCTTCAGATTCTGCAGCACATGAAGGACCTACCTGTTCTGTTTGGTTTCAGTTTTTATTCTCTCGCCATCAGTGGGTTCCGTGTAATCTTTGCTCCAGAGAAACTTGCTCTCGTCRTTCATCTCAACAGCCTCGTAACCCAAAAATATAAAACCATCATCATCCACACCGATCTCAATGTCTCTGGTTCCTGAGAACAAGAGATATTTATCAAGTCTCATGGATTTCACTCAAACACAAAATTTGTCCAGAATCAAATATGTATAGTTAATTTTATTATTTGACTTTAGAAATCCTTCATCTGGTGTCATTATAATATGTGTATAAACATAATGATATATGTTACAACTGCATATTAAACAAAAATATAAAATCCCAAAATAAAACTTCTCTCTTGACAAAAAAAAAATAAAAAAAAAAAAAGAAACTAACAATAAATCATCTGCTATTTTTTAATCCCCAACTTTTTCATCCAACAGAGTTTGATTTATATCTGTGATATTAGTTCTGTGGCCYGACCTGGTTTGGTCTGAGCTGCGACCGGCTCCGAGGGCAGAGAAGCTGGACCCACTCCTGCATCATTAACAGCCGACACACGGAGACGGTAGGTCTGACCCACCTGAAGACCCGACACCTGGATGCCAGAAGAAGCCCATCAAATATTTACCACTCGCCCAAATAATTCAAYGTATGATTTAAACATTCTGGGCTGCAGACAGACTGAGACAGTTCTGCCGGGTTGCTGTTTTAAAATAATAAAAACCAAACACCTGGTTTATAAACCGTTAAATCTTTGCTCCAGTAAATCAGATAATGAGCTAATACGGAGCTGCTTTGTTGCTTCTCTCACCTTATAATGTGTTTCTGAGATTGGCTTTTTAGTCAGTGCAGTCCAGTTGTCTGACCGATCACCCTGGCTGATCTCCAGCAAATAGCCAGTGACCGGACTCCGACCCTCATACAGCGGAGTCGCCCATACGAGCACCAAGGAGCCGTTTCTTACCTCCCGGAACTCCAGGTCATGAGGGCAACCTGTGGATCAGAAGAGCTGAATAAACTACGGTTTGGACCAGAGTGCGATGTTTGTGTGTTTTACTTTTTTGCATGTGCTTTGCACACCTGTTTCATAAGCTGTTTCTATTTTACGTAGAACAAATTAATATAATTATAATTATAAATAAATGAAATAAGTGAAAATTAGCCTAACAGAACTCCTCCACAAAGAAAATCTGAAAACAAGTCAAAATGAGAAGACTTCCCTTGATCCACCCAGACGACTCCAAGGCAGCACGTGGAAGTCTATCTGTGCAACGATTTTTGGTCACTTTTAAATTATTAATGACACGGAGGGAAACCCATTTGCCAAGATTGATGAGCTGCTCGCCTAAAGTCGCTGATTTTAGTGACACTGTCTCCATTTTCTACATTAATGGAACAAAATGGGGCGGCTGTGGTAGAGTGGTTAGGGGAGTCGACCTGGAACCAGAAGGTCGCCGGCTCGATTCCCGTCCAGTCAACTCAGTCGTTGTGTCCTTGGGCAAGACACCTTACCCGCCTTGCCCACTGATGGTGGTCAGAGGGTCCGGTGGCACCTGTGTATGGCAGGGTCCGCGCGCACGAGGTGCAGGGGGGCCGCTATGATGCAGTGTACTTGGCATCTGAAAATACATTTCCTCAAAGGTATTTTTAATCTGAAAAGAGCTTCACTGAGTGAGAACTARTGTTGAGAGCTCAGCAGACAGATTAAGGTTCACTTTCAGTTTCACCCGAGAGCCTGCAGGAGTCATGCGGGGTGTGTGGGGAGGGGGCGGGGGTCCTCAGCCTTGAGGAAGTTCGACTTAAAGACACACCACAGAGGCGTTTCTAGTCCCCACCTGTCGTTTTGCTCCTCAGCATGGCTTCCTAAAAACGCTGCAGGATTTCTCAAACATRCATGAATGAGTCTAAGCAAGGCTTTGGGCATGTTTTTTTTTATGGGAATATAACATTGTAACATGATATAAAACTCAAAAAAGTTGATTTTACATGATATTGCCCCTAGACTGAAGGCAAATGTCCCACTGACCTTTAAAATACCTTGAGTTTACAACCAATTTTTTTGTGTGTTTAAAAAGGAGAGAATCCTTTGAGTGGTGCCATTCTCTTTTGCCTGAATGATTACTGATTCATATTTAGAGTTAGATTAGTTAACAAATAAACAACTTCCTGGGGTCTGGGGCTGGGCGCTGGGGTGTGTGTGTGCCGGCCTGGCCTGGTGACTGCCTGCTGGGGCTCGGGGCCTCTGGCCCTGTCGGGCTTTGGCCTGGGGTGGGGGGAGGGGGGGGGGCGCCCTGGGGGCCCGCCGGACCTCTGTGCCCTTTCCTGGATCTGCTCTGGTATGGTGGGTGCCGGTGGGGCCCATGAGTTTGTCGTTGCTGGCCCCAGGGGCTGTGTGTGTGGTCGCTGGGGGGGCTCTCCCAGTTCTCCCCTATGGTCTGATCTGGGGGGTGGGTGGGCAGATCTTCCCGTGCGGGTGCCCCTTGGGGCTCTGCGCTCGGGATCCCTCTCGGGTCCTTGGGCTCTGGTCTTCCCTATGTCTGCCTAGTGTCTTGGGGGTTGGGTCTCGGTCCTCCACAGTCACTATTAAATATTCCATTGGAGAAATCTTGTATATACACGCATGTTCACAACTGCTCACAAACAGGTGTTCTGATCCGGGGGGTTCTGACTGGTCACTGAGTGTGTATATATGTCTGTGTGTATATACTGGCAATATTTATGAATGAAGGCATGTATGTATGTACATYYTTATATATGTATGGGTATGTGTATATATTTATATATGCCCTCCATGTATTTATCCATTTATTTTTCAGGTGAGCGGACAGATGTTGGGTGTGTGGTCCTGTGTTTTCTTGGTGTATATTTAATATACTTCTAATCTCTATTTCAATCTTTCYAATTACTTTTCTCTTTGTTTTTCCCTCTTTCTCTATTTTCTCTTTACTTAAAAAAATCACTGATGAAGAAGAAATTAAGAAACTAATATTAAGTTCTTTTTTCTACTGAAGTAATAAAAAAACCACTACAACACAAACAAAACAATTCCTCTGAAAATGACTGAAAAAGCAGGCTCAATCCAGAGAAAATGTGTTTGAAAAAACTTCAGAACATCTGGAGAACTACTGACAGAAACTTTACTTTTATAAAAAAAAATATAAAGAAGATAACTTTTGCAGGGCACAAACATTTCCCCGTTATTCAGTTTCATTAGTGGGGGAAAATTTTTAATTTTCATTAATGTTTTTATGGTTCTCTTACAGTGGGTTTGAGCTAAAATATCAAAACATTTCCATCATGTCAAAGTTTCTGTTTTAGCATAATTAATCATTTTATTTCCAGATTCATGTTCATGTTCTGAATGTCTCATTGATTTCAGTGATTATAGTGTATAAACCAGATAACATATCTAAAGGACATTAAACCTACAGCCTTGTAATAATGCAATGTTGATGTAACATTGTTTTTCTTTGTAATCTCCCACAAGCAGCAGTGATATTAAAGCACAAATCATACATAAATAACACATTAAAAAAGACACAAGCTAATTTTAGTCTGCGATTTTAGAGTCCAATACTGCTTCTTTATTATTCACTTAACCGCTGACCTCAGCCATTACTGCGCACTTTAATGGCACAGTAAGCAAATAGCTTATTATTAAGCTGAGACTTCATACTGGCCTGTTTGTTTTGCTGTGAAATGACTACATACACTTTTAATAGKGCAGTTTAAATAAAAGTAAAATGGCAGCAAGTGGAAATGGGTCCTCCAGTTGATGGATGGTGTTTATTTCTATCTCACCTCCTTCGCAGCAGCCGGGGTCGATAAACAGATCGTAGAAATTGCAGCCAGGAACGTATTGACGGAGTCTCAAACTCCCAAAGCCCTGAAGTGAATGCATCACTTGGAAAAGACTGATTATAAGAGTTAAACTCCACCGCTACTTACGAATGTGCTTCTGCGTTTGCCATCACTTCTTCATGTTTGAATTTTTGTTGCAGAATGATGTGTGTGAAAATGTTTGTGTGCAAAAAATTGGAAATTTTTTATGGTTTTAGTGTGAATAAAGTTTAAAAAATGGATTTAGAAGTCAGCTGGGCTGCAGCTCATGTAGAAACATGAAACTTAGTGAAAAATGGTGAGTTAAGCATAGACTGGTCATTATTAACTTAACATATCAAAATATAGAAGAAAATAAACTTTTCAACATAGTAGTTTGTRTGTCCTAAAACAAGAGGGGATTTAAAGTGTCTGGAACATCCAATTTTTGTAAGAAATATGAATGCATTTTTGGAAAGATAACACTGATAACATGTTTCATGCTGCCGAGATGAACACTTGTTGAAATATTTGCATGTGAATAAACAGGAAGTGATGTCAAAGGGGAATGTCTGCTTTTAAACACAGCGTTGCTACAACAGCTGACAATGAAGACTGTAGAGAAGAATCTGATGTTTTTTTAAATATTATTTTGAGTCACTATTAGAGAGAAATGAAGAAGAGTCAGAGTTCAAATATTTTTATTCCGATAAACAAAGATCATAGACTTCTTTTTTTCGAAGAGTTCCCCTTTGATGTCACTTCCTGTTTCACTTTGGCTGAGGCAAGTTCAAAGAAAAATATTACAAAATGGGTAAAATCATGTGTATTGTGTCAAGTTTTTTTTAAAGATGTTTTCTTTGACTTTTTGTATWTGTCACAGGTACTTTAAAGTAGAGATATAACCAGGGATGTTATTTTGTAATAATTTATCATTAAGTAAAATGCTTGGGGAAATAATCATTACCTGGTTCAGGCATTGTCCACTTTTCACACAGAAAAGTTTCACTGGCATTCGAGGGTTTCCCCACACCGGCCATGTTGGCAGCAAAGACACGAAACTGGTAGAAACATCCGCTTGTCAGGTTGGACACCTGCAGATACAGAGTGGACATCAACATAAAACGGCTGCAGGCTAAAATATTTTACACAGAAAATGACTCAAGTTTTGTCAATCCATTAAGAGGTTCTTTTTTCTTATGTTACTGAACATTACTGGGCAGGATGTCTCTCCCAATACCCTATTTGTCATGTTTGGTGTGTGGCCTGCTTCAGTTTGCTCTTTTGCCTGCTAAAACAAACTTAATAGCATTCACAACCTRTTGGCTAGGAAGCTGCTAAACTGAAAATCTGCAGCTCCACCTACACTTCCAAGCTGGATCAGAAAGGTTCATTTATTAATGCTGTTTGTCTTCTTAGATGTAGGGACCATAGGGCAGGAGCATTTATTTGACGTTTAAAAGGGGCAATATCATGTAAAATAAACTTTTTTGAGTTTTATATCATGTTATAATGTTATACTCTCATAAAAATATGCCCAAAACCTTGCTTTGACTCATTCATTCATGTTTGAGAAATCCCGCAGTGTTTTTAGGAAGCCATGCTGAGGAGCAAAACAACAGGTGGGGACTAGAAACGCCCCTGGGACGTGTCTTTAAGTCGAGCTTCCTCATCACGGAGCACACCTCCCCACCCTCCACCCCACACACCCCACCCATGACTCCTGCAGGCTCTCGGCAGTAACAGAGCAAAGTGAAAGTGAAACTTAACTGTCTGCTGCTCTCAACACTACTGCTCACTCAGTGAAGCTCTTTTCAAATTCAAAATACCTTTGAGGAAATTTATTTTCAGATGSCAAGTAAACAGCATCATACCCCGAAGGTGGTTCTTAAAGAGACAGAGGCCATTTTCAAGGCGTTTAGAAGAGGAAGTGATGAGAAGATAAGTTTATTTTCTATTTAAACATAAAAAAGCATCTTAATAACAACTAAAGGTGACATAGATACTTTATTATGGTATAGTATTTAAATGAGAAACACATAATATTGCCCCTTTAAAAATGGGAGAATTCAATAAAAAAAGAGTGGGAGGAAAAGTATGCCTCGCCAAAACCAAACTGATGATAAACAGTGAAATAAATGTTGTATGAAAGAAAAAGCCAGAGCGTTTTGTATTAGAGCAAAGTGGAGTAAAGTTTGTGTGTACATAGATTAGAACAGTGGTTCCCAAACTTTTTATCTTCTGACCCACAAAATGTCCATGGCAAAAACTTGTGACCCCAAATATTACTGGTCTGAGTACATGAACTTAGTTAATAACCATAAAAACACAGGCTGTTTGACAATCTAAACAGCTTGTACACAAATATAAATACTTATTTATACTTATTTTGTGTTTTTGTAATAATTATAGGGAAAATATTACATCAGCAATTATTTTATTACCCTTTAAATTGATTTCTGGAGATTATCCAAGGTGCTTCATGACCCATAATTGRGTCCCAAGCCCAACTTTGGGAACCAAARTGCADTGGTTCCCAAACTTTTCAGCTTTTGACCCACAAAATAACAGTAGCAGAGACCTGTGCCCCCAACTATTTTTGGATGATAAACATTTGTATCAGGTCAACTAAACACAGGCAATAACAATATTTTTTTTACTACATTTATCCATTTTAAATACACTAACCTCACTCCTTTGTAACAACTAAAGCAAAAATGTAATTAATTCAGAAAATCTTTTCAGGACTCCACCTTGATGTTTCGGGACCCCACTTTGGGTCCCGACCCCAACTTTGGGAAACACTGGATTAGAATGTGCCTGAACTGATAGTGAATTTTCAAAAACGTTTAGGATTTTAAAATAAAAACCTACATACACAGAAATACTTTACAAGTCCTGAAAGATGTGGTTTTATCTACAGTTTAAACATTTCTTTAAACAGCTTCAATCAAAATGACATCATTCTTTACTATGAAACGTCGCAGCAGGAGGAAAACTTCCCGACCCGTAAAGTTCCACTCCTCCTGATTCACAAAGAATTTTTTTTTGAGGTATTAGCTCAGCTGCTGCTGCAAACATTTTTCTGAGCCCCCGGGACATTTTTCGCTTCAGGAAGAGAAGGGAATCGGGCCTATTGATCCGTTCATCGATCCTCCCATTCACAGCCACTTAGGCTCGGAGGCCCTTATCGCCTCCGTAAACAGAAAGCAGATCTCTGCTGCCTCCGTCTATCTCCGGGCAACTAATTGACCGAACTGGAGGGAGCTTTTTCATAATACCAACAATCGCTATCTGAACGCTGCTGTTCCGTGCTGACCGCCTCCTTGATGAGCTGTAAACCCTTTTCTACAAGAATACATTGAAAACCGAACAAGCTTCTTCTCAGACTCATGCAGAGTCCACCACAATGGAAAAGTTTCCTCTAAAACTAAACTTTCTTCCACTAGATGGCAATCAGACTGCATTTCATTATCTGAACAATCGTCTAATTTTTCACCAGCTTTTGTTGGGAGGAACGACAGAAAGTGACTGTACTTTAACACTCACACTGCTTTTCTGTATAAATAGTCTATTTCTCTGCTTCACGCTGCTTTTAAAAGCTAAAAACGATCAAGCATGAGTAGCAGAGTTCTTTTTTTATTATTTAAACGATATCTAGACTAATTTTCTGATCCACTGAGTTGAATATTGGACAGATAAATCTATCTGAGACAGAGCGCAGCCTCATCCAACTACAACAAAAACTGATAACCATATGTTGCTGCATTAATAACAGTTGAGCTCACATTTTTCTGCAGAATTGCTGCTTTTGCTCTTTTTTTGCACACATTAAAAAAAGACATTTGAATAAAGTTTTATCACACTTTGTCTTGGATTAAAGCCTGTGTGCTCCTTTAAATTGAGAAATAGATCTAGATCAGTTTTGTTCCAATAAAGCAGGATTAGTAATGTTCCTTCCTGACATTTGCAGTGAAGAAGCTTTTCGGACCTAAATCTTCTAAATAGCTCCGATCCAGAGACGAAAAGCGATCCAGAGTAAAAAAAAAACACAGCAGCGCAATCAATGTTCCAATGACTCTAATTTGCTTCCAGGAGGCCAGAATCTTGATTAAAATAACAGCTCAGGCTGGAAATAGAGCCTGGGTATTTTTTTTTTTTTTGTTTGTTTTCTTTTGAAAGAAATGATGTTGTTGAAATTTCCCACTTTCTCAACAGGGGGCGCTGCATGCTCAGTAGGTTCGGGCCAGGAAAACAAGACCTCCAGTCCTCCAGACTCTGCTCTCCACCGCAAGTAGGATTAATGCTGACGTACAGCTCCTCACTCATTTTTATTCTAATTGACTTTGTCCTTGTTCCCCCCCCACCCCGGAGACATAAACAAGCAATCGCACAAAGCACATTTGCAAAATATCTAATTATGGAGCACTTGTAATCTCGGTAAGATAGGTTAAAGATTTTACTTTCCTCTGGATCTCCATGGACACTGCTTGTTGCTTAGTGACACAGCCTGGGTGAATGAGTGAGTGTTGCCTGTTAATGCCAACGTCAAAACAGATGCTAAACTAACTTTATGAACAGCTGTGAGTAAAACAACTTACCACCTATTGGAGTCAACCCCATTCAAAATGGCTGCCTCAGAATCATTTTAGCAAACATAAAACTAGCTCGGTCTCAATCAGCTTTACAGAGTTTAAGCTCAAATTGAATGTGGTCATAGCTGAGAGTCGTCTTTTACCCAGATCACATTAGATCTTTGTGTGCAGCTGGAGATGTGGATTCTTATATAAATGAGTACAACACAGGTTTTTTTAAGCATTTTAAGGAAAAGGAACCTTGAAAAAGTTAAAACGTGTTACATTTTCTTATGGGACCTGCTGATCTGCCACAAAATGGTGATGGGACTTCATGACAATGGTCTCTGTGAGGCCTGTGGCATTGAATTAGAGACCTCTTTGCACTACTTAGACCACTGCCTGGCTCTGAACAGTCAAAGGAAAAGAAATCTGGACCTTTTTATGGATCCCTAGAAGCTCAGAACACTGGGTGTTTCTAACCTTGTTTCCTTCATCTGAGGGACGCGAAGGTTTGATTAAAACTCAATGGGCCTCATGCAAGAACCGTTAGTATGCACAGATTTGTTCTTAAATTGTGCGTACGAGTGATTTAGGAGAATTTGTGGCATTCACCAATGTTTTC